GCAATACTACTGATGTAGCCCCACATGGCATATCAACTTGAATAGTTTGGCTAATGTGCTCAGGTGTGGATTGTGAATTAATACGTTAAGCTGGGAGGGATGGATCTATTGACTGGGGTGGATCAATATTTTTTTTTTTTTTTTTTTTTACTCTGAAAAATAGTTTATTAAAAGTTGGTCATCCTCACACATTTCAGAGGAGGTCTTTATCTATAGAATTGAAATGGCTGCATCTTAATCCACCTGTGGATCAATTGTTTCTAAGGGCTCAATATCCTCCTCTTCTGGATCATCAGCCCATATGTTCCCATCCCATGTTTCAGGGTCCCAACTTTTCCCAATCAATGCCCTTACTCTGGTTTCAGACACTGCTCTAGATCTGCAATTCAGCTGCTGTTGTAATTCAGCCACTTGTATAATGAGACTCTGGACCTGGTTCTCAGCAATGTCAGCTCTTTTACTAGAGGAGAAAAGGCTCTCCTTTGCAGCACAGATGGAAGTTTTCAAATCCGTTAGTCTGCACCTGAGGCGCACTTTTGAGGCTCTGAGATCATCCCTCTCCTTAATCAAACTTTCCATCGAAGGACCAGCCAATCGGCTTCCCTATACTTGTCATCCTTACAAAACTGCTGGAAAATATCAAACATACGATCACTCAGAGCCTCTCCTGTAACCAGCACCTCGTCTATCGGTGGTGCATTTGAGACAGCTTTGGTGATTCCAGGCAGGCGTGTGAATTTGGTTCTGTCAGTTCTTCGTTGTAGAAGAAGAAGAAAGCACCGTGTTTGAACTCAGACATCTCCCCCAGCCCCCACCCGCCTTCCCAGTGCACTGCTCACAGCAGTCCTCTTCCAAACATACAGGCACATGGAGCACTGAACTGCCTGCCATCAAGTCATTCACTCTCGGTGGAAATGTCACCTCCTCAGGACATTTCTGGCCTTCTGAGATTGTGGCTCCTGCTGTGGGTTCAAAGTTTTCTGGGGGTCCAGTGTGGCCAGCATGTCACTCTTGAGTTTTGGGACTCAAAATTCCCTGGGATTTGACACAGTGAGGGAGCATATTGAGGAGGGGTGGGGTGGGGGTGGGTCTGTGAATAGAAGCCCAATTAAAAGATGCTTTTTAGCCTTGTGTCGAGGAGCAAGAGTTAGTTTGGGGATGGAAACGCGATGTTTTAGGGATGGTGTAGTTATCCTAGAAGGAATTCTGTCTGGGTTTCAGAGTCTCTGGGCTGGCTGAGCAAGTGTGGAAGAATTATGTCTATAAATTCAAACAGAATAGCATTTAAGCAGGAAGACACAGCCCTACTCTGATTGAGGGGTACATTTTTTCACATGCTGAAGGTATCATCTATAAGTCAGCGTTTACGTTACAGAACAGATCTGCCTACATGCTCATCCTTTCTCATCACTTTGGTCTTTCTATCTCTTCAGTAAACCTTAGTTTTCTTAATGTATGATTTAAAAAAATCATCCCATAGCTCCTCAGGTACTTGGTCATTAGTGTCATATGTGTCCAATCTTTTATCGAGATGGTCTCTAAATTGAGGTGGGATATACTCAAGGTAGTATTTTTGCTTTTTTTTTTT